GAAGGGTGCACAGGTAATGGGGAAAAAAATAAGAACCAAGATATATCATGTACAGGTACAAACACCCAATGATAAATGTAAACGAATTGTATACCTAAAATGTACCAATAAAAGAAAAAAAAAAAAAGTGGGACCTTAAGGGGTGTTCAGACAACAGGGCTTTACGGATTAATGCGGGGAGGAGTGATGTTCCTTTCCCCTTGGGCCCAAAACAAACCTCAGAATTCAGGTTCCTTAGCTTGAACTTCTTTTCCCCAGTGTAATTCACACTCTGGCCATAGGCAGTTTCCTTCCAAATTCCTTCTCCTTTAGCCCTCTATCATTATTCCACCACCATCCACCAAAAACAAAAAAACAGCAGTGTGTTAGTTCTTTCTCTTCCCAGACATAGGGTCTCTAAGACTACAGTATCAGTGTTCTTGGATCCAAATTTATCTACCTGGTTCTGTCGGGGAGGAGGACAGAGACCATTATATTTTCTAGGTGAAAAAAATAAAGAAAAAACTCACCCAACATGACACTATACAGCAGAGTAAAATTTGTACTTCTGATTCTAGAACCCACCGTAATTGCTATGCTGCACTTTCTTGTTCCCTTCTCCAATTGTTATATTCCCAAATAAATTTAAAACCATTTTGTAGTGTTTTGGGAGAAAAAAAAAAAAATCACATTTTGACTGAACTACCTCTTACCAGTTTTCCAAAGTCATCTGTAAGTTTCATGAGGTATGCTACTTCACCTCTAAGTTGTGAGCTTTGAGACCAGTGACCATAACCTATCCACACTGCCAGGTGTGATCAACAGGTTAATTAATGGTCTCTACCTTCAACTAACGCCTTCTTCATTAACTGTGCCCACAAAAATGCCTGTAGGTTTTGGGCATCAATCCTGGAATATTCTGAAGGGTCCTAGCCTGTAAGATTGACTGTGACATGAAATCTGATTCATCACACCCAAAGCACATCATCAAAGTTTCCCTCCCTGTCCATAAACTTTGGACTGAAAAGCCACCTTTAACAAAACAGCTTTTAGTTTCTTAAAGGGAGAAAATATCAACTGTTTTAACTTTGCTCCTTCAGCTTCCAACATTTCACAATTGCTAATGTATTGTTTCCAACTTTATCCCAGTGCTCTAGAATTTGATCTGTGGCTCTCACAATGATAATCCTTCAACAAGCTCCAGTGTAACAATCCCTCAATCCACACCTAAAACAATTTTGCAGTAAAATGCATTTTCTTGGTTTCTGGCTACCTGCCCCTTTATCACAGCATCCACTCAAATATTTAGGATATGAAATAGCCTGTAAGCTTAGTCTAGTAAGAAACACATACCCTGCTCATTTTTATGTCCCAATGCAATGTCCAATATCTTAGAACCAAAGGCTCAGAAAACCTCTGAAACCAGTAAAATGGTGGGAATCATTACAATGGGAAAAGAACATAACGAGCCCTTAAATGTAAAGCAGTCTAATACTGTTAGAAAAACATGGAGCAGGAAGCATGTTTAATTTTCAGCCTTAATCCATGAGCTGCTTCCCTGTGACCCAGGGCAAATCACCATTTCCTTAGCTACAATAATGTATTTCAACCACCTTAAAAACTTTTAAAATCTTTATCAGTACATATTTGCAGTACATGGTCACATTCACCATGCAGTTCAACCACCTTTTAACTGGTGTCACACTCTGGGAGGCTAAGGCAATAAAATTGTAGGTTTGAGCTCAGCCCAGGCAACTTAGCAAGACCCTGCCCTCCTCCTGCCTTGAAGAACTTAAAATGTGCCCAATATGTAACATATCCCTAAACAGTTGAATTAGCAAAAGCTAAGATACACACTTAACCTGTAAGATTTATCACCTTATGCTATATTTTCTGCCTACTGGAAGAAAAAAAAAAATCTCAGTAACATAACTCAAGGCAATTTCCAACTCTAAGACTTAAATTTTCAAATCTTTTCAAAAGGCAGTATTAATGCAATGTAAATAAAAATGTCTAATAAAACACATCAAAAGCAATTTTATTACATAAATTAAGCCATTTATTATAGGCTAGGGATGTCTCAAATAGCATAGCTTTTACTGGTCTTTCAATTCCTTCAGTCTTCTGATGGCCGACTTGACTGTGACCGCAGAAGTGGTACTGTTAAAAAAAAAAAAATTCAGTTTCCAACACAATTAAACATGTTTACACATGAAATGGTAAATCAATCATGCCTCACTGTTATAATCATACAGTCTCTTTCTGAATTTCTCCTGAAATTATATGGAGACAGACTATAAATACTTTGCTACTTAATCCAAAAATTTAACATTAAGACTACTACCCATGCTGGGTGTGGCGGCACAGGCCAGTAATCCTCCCAGCACTTGAGAGGCTGAGGGGACCTGCCATGATTCAAGGCCAGCCTGGAACACAGTGAGACCCCGTCTCAAAAAAGCCCACTGCTGGGTCGGGGATGTAGCTCAGCAGCACAACACCTGCCCAGCAAGCATCAATCTTGAGTTCAATCCCTTGTACAAAAAACCCCCCACTGCTCAGCACCATGTCTTATGCTGGCGTGGAATAGGCCTGTAATCCCAGTACTGTGGGAGCCTGAGGCAGAAGGATCACAAGTTCAAGATGAACTTAGGCAACTCAGCAAGGCCTTGTCTCAAAATTTTACAAAATGGCTGGGGATGTAGCTCGGTATGAAGGCATTGGGCTCAAGTACCAATGCAGGGGGTGGGGGCTATATCGTCAAGCTCTTGCAGAATTAGCAATCTCATGTATCTTATTTTCTTCAATACTTAAAAAGGAACAGCTGCTCCAAGAGCCCAAACTAGCCTCATTAAAAAGAAATGGAAATCTGCCGCCAGCCCTGCAAGCCCAAGGACCCGAGTTCGATCCCCAGTACCAAAAAAAAAAAAAAAGAAATGGAGAATGTCAAAAGAAGCTAACAAATTACCAGAATGGTACAGTAAGATATGAAGTTCTTTTTTGAGACAGGGTCTCACTATGTAGTTTAAACTGGCCTTGAAGTTTTGGCAATCCACTGCCTCAGCCTCCCAGGTGCTGGAATTACAGACATGTGCCATCACGCCTGGCTGAAGGAGTCTTTTTTAAAACAAAGCAGCACATCAAAGTGCCTTTTGGAAATACAAGTATTAAAATGAGAAAAAAAGTTTTTACCATAAAACCAGGGACTTCAGGATGTGATGGCACATGCCTGTAATCCCAGCAATCAAGAGGCTGAGGCAAGAGGATAGCCTAAGTTTGAGACCAGCCTGGGCTAGGTAGTGAGTTCGAGGTCAGCCTGAACTAAATAGTGACACCCTGTCTCAATTTTAAAAAAAAGAACTATACCAGAAAGCCAGTGGATATATACCAAAATGCTCATTGACATTTCCATCAGAACCAAAAGAACACACTTGCCCCCCATTTTCCTTTCTGCTAACACAAAACCTCCCAACAAGGTGCTTAAGTTATATATATGCATATTATTTCATTTCCCATGGTTAACTGTAAATAAACTAAAATTTAAAATTCAATTTTTAAAGCACACTAGCCATTTATCAAATGTGACTAGTACTTTGGACAGCACAGGGATAGACACCCAGACTCTCGAGCTTCAAGGTAAGCAAAGAGCTCCAAGACTAGATTCCTTCAAGGTGGCCATTATTTTCAGAAATGGGTTAGGCTGAGTCAAAGCAAGCAGTAACCATATAAAGGTTTATCTCAGCAATACCATGGTTCCTTGTCATGATCACAGCACTGAGAAGTCCAAACAATACTACAGTATTTAGAAAGACAGGAATGAGTTGGTCCAAATAGTAGTTACAGTTTTAAACAAAGTGACATTTTTTTCTCAAACTATCTCTATTAAAACAACCTGCAGTGCAAATCAAAGTTCAGTACCAGGTCAGATCCCATTAATGTAACTACACAATATAACTTTTATCTCTGTAGTTTTCTATTAACAAGTGAAAATAAACCGTAACTCTGAAGAAGCATCATTACTGTCTTGGGCTTGTGGAAGAATTTAAACTAGCCCACCCGGTGCCAAAACTCTAAATGGCTTATGTGTAGCCCACAGTCCCAAATACCCCAAGAAATGAACTCACTTGTAGGTCCAGGCACCACCAGCCACTGTTTTCATGCAGGAACCACAGTGCCAGATCCCTACAGCCCTTCTCTTCATCTTGGTCTGTAAAATTAGAGAATCCATTTTCATCATGAATCAAGACTAAATTACATAGGAAAACCAACTTTAGCACTTTCTATATGGTAAAACATTAAACAAAAACTTCTACCAAAACAAGTAGGATGTTAGATGCAGACTATCCTCTTGACTGATACAGAAATACCAGTAAAAACAAACTGACAAGACTCATTTCCCCACAAAGCAGGGTTAGGTTAGGCTGGGGGTCTTTACTAGGTCGCTTGTTTAATTCCTTAGTTGTTTTCTTCAAGTTAGGAACGTTTCACAAAATCGAAAGTTAACAACAATACTATCTCGCAACTGATAAGCAGCAGTGTGAGCAACATGAAATCCTCACCAGAATACACATTTCGGAAGGAAACCAGCTCTCCTCCTTTCCCCCCCTCAACAGAGACCACCATACCTTGCCACAGAAGGAGCAGGTGTACTTGGCGTGCTGGCTGATTTCAATTTTTTTCACCATTTTCCGGAGGGAGGCACCATAGCGGGTCCCATATTTACCGACAATGCCGACCTTCTTGGTGCGTTTGGCCTGTAGAGACGCAAGAAAGGTGAAGACCAGCGATGTTTAAGAGTAGGAAACCTGGTCCTGGCATCTCCACATCCCGGTCCCCTACATCACCTCCGCCGTGACCTAGCTCTCAAGTTTAACCCGGCAAAACCAGTGTCCCGGGCGGACCCCATGCTCCAAAGGTCCTGCATTAAGCAGGCCCGGGTGTGCCAGGCCCTGCCAAGGCTCCCCCGCCCCTCCGCCCTGGGCTTCGTCCCAGAGTGCAATTCCAGGACGCGGAGACGGCACGGAGGCTGGAGAAAATACAAGTCAAGGGAGGTGGGCAGATGTAGATGGGGACAAAAAAAACGGGAGGACAGATGCGGATGGATACAGATTTAGGCCATGGACAGATCCGCACTCACCATGTCAATTCGACCTAGGGCCAAGCCCAGAGAGAAAGACACGGTGCGCAGGCGCGGTTTTAGGCCGGCGAGCGGAAGTGACGATAAGGCCTTTCTAGGAACTGAGCTTTATGGTCTGGAGGTTGGTTTGAAGTTTGCCCTACCTAGAGTGCCTCCCTGTGGCCTCCTGAGAAATGTTTGGGGAGGACAAGTCTTTCCCATGGGTTAACCCTGAGTCACAAGCTGTAGCGACAAGCAGTTTCGGCAGTTGTACGTCCACATTATCTTATATATATCACAAAATAAGGGCACACATTTTAAATGACTTGCTTAGGGCACTTGGCTTAGAGAAGTGCTTGTGACTAAATTTCATTGCTTTCCGCGCTACTTTATACTTTCTAATATGGTCAGACCCTGCTCAGGATGCTGGCGACTGGTGACCAAAATCCAAGGCTCCACTCTAAACAAACTGCAGTCTAGCTGGGAAAGTCATGTTAATCATATTGAGTTATGAAATTTCACTGATCAGAGCTCTGAAGGAAAGGAAGATGGTTACATGAGGCCTGCATACAGAAAGCCTGAAATTCTGAGAAAAGTCAGATTCGAAGGCTGGGAAGAAGTTAACAGTCTCTGTGGAATTTGTCTTTCTAGCTTCTTCCTGGGTCTCCGTTCTGATGGCCTGACTTTGCCTCATTGCAGAACCTCCTCTCCAAACCTCAACCTGGGCTGTAAGGCAGGTTCCTGGTTCGGGCCTAAACCTAGAACTCCAACATCCAGACTGTAACCACAGTCAATTGCCTGTCTCCAAGGAGTCAGCAAGAAAGAGTCCGTTTTCTGGTTCAGGCTGGGAAAGGAGTTTAAACAAATGATATTATCTCTTCAGCTAGAACTCACACTGGAAAATTTCATTGCTTTTTTTTTAGGGATGTCCAGAGGACAGGAAGCTCAGAGAACTATTGCTATAACAGTATAAGAGAGAATCCACCACTTCAGAACCAAAAAAGACTGTGACAGGACTGCAAGGCATTGTGCCATGTTTCCAGTCAGAAATCTGGGGAAAAGTATCTGTTAGTTCACAGAGTTAAATATTAACTATCTCAAATAATTTTGCATGTGTTTATTGCTTTTCTCACAATTATACTAAAAGCAACATGTAAACAGTCACACAATTCACACAGTCATTTCCTTGGAGAAGTGACTAATCCAAACTTTGAATTCTTCTTGATTTGAACACAGTGTTGTATGGGAAAATCATGGTGCCCAAGGGCAGCAGAAGGAGCACTTGAAAGATAGTAGGCACAGTCTATGGTTTACATATATGTTCCCATTTCGTTTTTATTATGCGTCTTTAATAATTATTCCCTTCATTATTAAGATAAAGAGAGGAATTCTTTTTTTGTTTGTTTGTTGTTGATTTTTAAAATTTTTTCCCATTAAGTTTACTGGTACATGTTAGGTATAAAATACAGTTACAGTCATCATTGGGATCTTGTACCATTACATGAGTATCTTGGTTCTTATTTTTTTCCCCTTTCCCTGCCCTCCCTTCACACCCTCCACCCTTCCCTATTTCCAAAGACTTTGTTTCCATTTTTTTCCTTTTCTCATGTTCTTTTCCCTTTTTTCCTTTCCCCTACCCCTCCCACTTCCCCTGCTCCTTTAGACCTTTTCTTCCTGTTACACAATATCAATTATACATTTTTTAAATTACAATATCAAGATCTAGGAGACAGTACCACAGATTTTACAGAATTTAAAAGGATATAGAAAG